CTTCATCTGTTCGTATCTGCTCATTTTGATTGACCAGCCCTCAAGTGCTTATTCTTCATCATTCGGTTCTGTGTTGACTGTCAAACAGAGCACATTTCACATTCATTTCCGAATGGAAGCAGACATTAAAAGTAATTTGAGTTCGTTTTTCCGGAAAAACGAACTCAAACGGAACCTTGTAATAGGGGGGCATTTCTGGTAAAGCTATATAGCCCTGATTTAAGAAGAACACATGCCATTGAACTTGAACGAGCTGAATGTGATTACGTTAAAACGGTTTACAAATTTAGTGACAGAAAACGCAGATCAATAATCAAGAGTTCTATCAGTACTGGGAAGGTCGATGGCGATACCAACCAGTCACGTGCTATCCGATGAGATTGAGTTGCAGCATTTCATCACAGTAACGATCACCAGACTATGTTTCACTGTTTTTTCCATGGGACATTTGGACTGGTATTCAAACCTGGATGCCACGAACTGGGAGTAAACAAAGTAACATTGGGTAGAACCAGAACGAGTTGTGGCTACAGTTTATCGTATCCAAGACCCACGAAAGTAAACGTCACAAGCTCCACTCAACCTTTGCCTGATTCTCCATGGTCCACTCTTTGTGGAAATTTTCTGTTTATACTTAATTGTAATTGCTCGTATTCCGTGAATCGCATGTTGTGTGCTGGTTCTTTTCAAAGTGGCTAGAAGTTCATCATTCCGGATAGCGGTTGGCGGAAAATGTTTCGTGCAAAATGCATGCTTACAGTCGATCGTACTACACGATCAGTATAAACACGCTACAACCATCAATATGCTAGAATTGACGCCATCTTACAATACTTAATGAAGAATAGAACGAGTAAATCACTTAGTCAAGAATGTGCACTGCTCAGATATAGGAGACGAAAACAAAGAGATGCCAGAGCTCAACTGGCAGACTCCTTGTAGCTCTCATACCACAGGCGTGTTACGGAACCGATGTGGTGACGCAATGCGAACCAGAAACTTACGCCACACAGTTCCAGGACAACCAATAAGAAGCCGGTGTTCTGGACCAATCATATTGCCAGCAGTTCAGTCAGTGCTAGAAAAACACGAGCATTGATTGGTCAACACTTGTTGAGCAAACAATCTTTCCTTGTACTTATTATTATTCAGTTTATTTGAATTCTTCTGATAAACTAACCCCTTTAAATTCTGTGACATTGTTCCTACATCTCGATGTTAGGAAATTCCGGTAGCTGAGTAGGAGTTTGATTTCAACTTCCATTCCTGATTTCCAGGTATTTTGAGTAATACAGTCGGGTAATAGAGAAGATATCGTCCGGTGGCAAAGGGGGTTTCGAACATTGGATCTAAAACGTTTGCATTCAACTGATCGCGATTTACAGCCATCAACTATCGCCTTGCACAACTTAAGATTACAGGAGCAAAGTCTAATACACAGAAAGTCAATGATGAATACCTAGTCTATTGTTGTACTCGAAATGGTGATCGCAAATGATCAGCGCAAACTCGCACGCGTACTAAAAACCAACTGTACAACGCTTATTCAGGTTGAATAAAGACGAGCTCTGGATACGGCTGGTTCTATTCGCAAAGGCACGCAAATGAATGTTACACTTTTCAATCAATCAGCTATCAGCTTTCCGATATTCAGCCAGCCTGATTGCATGTGCCAGGCCCATTAGATCGGTCGGAATCCGCGTCTCCTGATTGGCTGCCTGGAAGTTATTGCATGGTGCGTACATGCTGCCGTCCGACCTCATTGCACAATCATTACATCTACATGGAATTGAAACAAGCCTTTCCCGAGATTCATTTGAAAAGAAAAGATTGGAAAGAAGTCATTGTAGACTAAATTTGCGAGCTAGGTTCTTCACAAACAGAGTTATACCACTGCGAAATACACTGTAGGCTCAATTTGCGAGTTAGGTTCTTCACAGACAGAGTTATACCACTGTGGAATAAACTACCTGAAGCAGTGGTTAATTGTATTAACGCATATCTTTCAAGAGAAGGCTAGATGAATGCTGGGCAGTGGTATTCCCTGAAGTTGAGTGTTGTCTTTCAAGAGAAGGCTAGATGAATGCTGGGCAGTGGTATTTCCCGAAGTTGAGTGTTGAAAAGGCTAGATGAATGCTGGGCAGTGGAATTCCCTGAAGTTGAGTGTTGAAAATTAATCGTTAGGCTTTACTTTACGAAATACTATAAGGGAGGCTAGATGAATGCTGGGCAGTGGTATTCCCTGAAGTTGAGTGTTGAAAGTTAATCGTTAGGCTTACTTTCCGAAATAATATTAAGGGAATCTGATTCTGCACACTAACATTCTGCCGTTCAGAAACTACTATTGACTCGAAGTGTTGGAAGCCGACGAAACGCCGACAACACAAAGAACTGGACGCGCGATTGGCAAGAGCCACAATCCGTCCTGGGAGAACTGAACTGAACTGAACTGAACCATATTGCAATACTGCTTGATTTATGTCCAGGACGATTTCGCTGCATCTCAACATGATGCATACTGCAGAAAATATAATGTTTACATAGGGCTTTAGCATAGCAACAAAGTAAAGCAAAATACATTGAAAACAGACAAAACATAAAAGAGGGAGGGGTAAAAGGACCAATATCACCAGGGTAGGGAGAGACTAACATAAAGTTATTTTTGCTGACACAGGGGGGGGGCTCCCATCGATTAATCGCAATCGCTTCAGCAAACGTTAGCAATCTTGCGACTTGAGACTTGTAGACAATTCGAAACGCTGTGCCTCAGTCGACTTGGTGTTGCGTCATCAGCAGATGTCGAGGAATTGCTGAGGACGGGGTCTTGTAGTTTAGACCGTCGTTTCTATGCAGCTGATTTGACCTCAATCGGGTCAGCTGATTTTGACCCAATTCTGCCCACATATGTCTTCTGTTGTAGATGAAATGGAAAAAGGGAAAAGGATGTTTCACATAATTCGGAATTCCATGACACGATTGCGTAATTGTCGCTCTGTTCGGCCCACGTAGGTTGCTCCACAACCACATTGGAAATGATGGATTAGGTTAGAGTTGGCGTACAGAGGCAGACACTCTTTTGCCGGGGGTGTGGGTATCCTGGTTGTCAGGTAGACGATTTAACTGATGGAAGCCCCCCCCTGTGTCAGCAAAAATAACTTTATGTTAGTCTCTCCCTACCCTGGTGATATTGGTCCTTTTACCCCTCCCTCTTTTATGTTTTGTCTGTTTTCAATGTATTTTGCTTTACTTTGTTGCTATGCTAAAGCCCTATGTAAACATTATATTTTCTGCAGTATGCACCATGTTGAGATACATGGAATTGTTTAATACAATAAATTGCAAAGGCAAAAACCAAAGTGTAGCATTTCGCATTCATAGAGCGCCAAATGCAGAACAATTTAATTAAATCAAGAAGACTCGTCGATGCTAATTAGAGCGTCAATCAATGTGGTCAGACTTCTGCGGATCGCAACGATAGATTTCTGATATTGAGTTACAAATTGCTGTTATTTTCAATTTACTCAAGAGCCGTACAAATGCATGCATCCTTTGGGTGATTATTTATTGTTCAGATGACTGTTTAGCGAATCCAACAAGCAAACCAGTTTCTAATTATCAGTGATACGCAGTAGAAACACGTTACATCTCTGGCAAATTTGATCGCGTGAAGAACAACCATCTGGATCAGAGATATTGTCTTAAGATATAATCCGTATTTAGAACATCCGGCGAACTGGTTCACGTCGATGAGCGACACACACAAGAACAGAGAAGAGTGAAACAATCATATCCATGGTAGTCGGAATAAGGGTCAACCAGGAACGAAAACGGATAAGTGAAATTGTCCATCTAATCGTCTGCTTACATTGAGAAGTAGAAGTTATGTCACAGAAAGGTTATTTGAATATAGTAATATCATTGGCTAACGCAATATTGACCAATCGTGGTGCATTTTCTTCTGGGCACATGATTCCTGTTTGAACCAGGTGGATTGTGATTCGTTCCGAAAACCGGCTTCTCATTATAGCATCGCTTCTTGGCTGAAGTCGTAGTACGGTGGATCACCACAACAATACCATTGGATAGTCGATTGGTACGATTCATCTAACTGCTAGCTCTGTGCAGAAATTCGGGGAAGCATTCGAAAAGATTCAAACAAATTCACATGCAAACGACAAATACTAAAGGATATATGTATACTACAAAGCAGTCACCATGGAATTTGTGTTTTCTGTTGGAATCAAGGCTTATGAAAATGTGAGAAAGCACACAAGTTATGCAATAACTGTCTCTGATATGACCTTCGGTGCGGTATTCACATAGAACACCTGCCCACCATACCGTCTCGACTAGTAATGAACCGATTCAAGTGAATTGTCCGCTTTTGTGAAAACGAAAATCATCTGTTAGAGTACCACATAAAATTTTTACCAAGAACCGAGATAGTCGCAGGACATACCACGTGAGTAGCCATTCAAAGATAAGCAACCCAGAACGATTAACATTTGCTAAATCGATCCAAGAGATGGAGTGGGGGGGGGATAATCATATTGCATGACAATGAATTGGAGAAAGATGGTCTTTTTATTGACGGTTAATGATCAAATTCGAAAGCAAGTCACTCACAGGTCCGATTATTTACACCTAATTCTCACTCGCATCACACACTGATGCATAACTCATGATGTTGGCTCAGTTCTGACAATGTTGTTCTGACAGACGCTAGTGTGAGTGGAAAGCTTCCCTGTTCTGTTTCTACTAAGTTGACTCAATAGTCGGGAACAATACGTTGATCGACGTCTATGTAGCTGGATTACTCCAGGGTGCGCCTTATGGCAAACTGCAAAACTGCAGCCATCCTATTGTTTATTTCGGCCTATCTACAATATTATTTCCATGATCTACAACTTTGAATCTCGTTGCAGAGACTCTTTTATTCTTCTGATTGGTTGCAGCCAACCCCTCTCCCCTGTCCGTCTGCCCATCCGTTCATCGGTTACACTCAACCACAATATGGTAGTTCATTCAGTGCAAAGCGCACGCTTTATCGTTGGAGTTTAGGTGTTACAGAAATAGCACCGAAAATTTCATATCTGGATCGCCCACCGCATTTACAGAGTCGTGCTGCAGCCATCCGGCGGCAGGAAAGACTTAATTTGTCAAACAATATAATTTGAATGAGGAACGCAACTTTAGAACGTCATTCGGTCGATTCCGGTGAATTTTTAAGAAAAACCTGTCATATCTGTCGACTTACGTGGACACCATATGATTCTGTAAGTGGACTGTGTGATGGGAGCTCAAATTCGGCCGAAGCTCACTCGCAGCGGATGTCATGTGACCTGTCGACCTCGCTATCGACCTTACCCCAGTATTGACATAACCAATGTTCATTGATCTGTATTTCACCCGTGGACACAATTACAGTCAACTCGTTCCAATTCAGTGATTTGTGTTCTTCCTAAACCAGGGGCGTACAGTCACAAGCGGACGGGCGATTGAAATGTGAAATGTGGCCTCGTGATTCAACGTGCAAAGCGTACTCTCCACCGAAGCGTAGGTCGTGTCCATCCGTGGGTTCGAATCTCACCGAGGTTGCTCGACTTTTTCCAATTCAAACATCGAATATCTACCGGTAAACACTCGAGTGTGAATATCGGCCTGAACCCTTAACGGAAACCGTATTGATCGAATTGATTGAATCCCCATGATAGATCAAACTACGAGATGTTATTGAACTACCGGATCCAATACCCGAACTAATCGGTCGGTCCCGGTTGTTGCCTGTTTTTGTCCCAATTGCAAATCAACAGTCGTGTTCTAAATGACCATCGAGCCACCCGGTTCACAAGTGGCATCACTGATCCGATTAGTTGTCCCACGGCGAACCGCGTGCGCTGGTCCTGCACACTCGCCCCCGAGCGCGCGCACAATGGAGAGAGAGAGGTGTAGGAAGAGAACGACCATTCTCTGGGCGTGCATGTGTGTGCGCGCGCTTGCGCTCCTGTAGGTTGCTCTTTCCAACTAAAAAAAGTTGTTGATTACATTACGTGGGTTGATTCACCTCCCCGCACCCCCGTTTCACTCGCACACGTCTGCCGTAGTGCGTTCCCGAACGAATGTGGTCCACGCTCCAGGGGTCTCAAATCAGTACGTGTCAATCAGTGAGCCACCCACTGACATACAACTTTTCAAGCAGATTGGAAAACATATTGTTTAGTACCAACTTGCTCCCTCGCTCTCTCTCTCTCTCATTCCGATTGAAGAAAATAACAGTTGATTAGGCCATTGTCCAACAATACCAATTGATTGCTGATCACATACCGATACCCTCGGGTGAAGCAGAGCTGAATGCCACCAAGCGCGTGCCCCGAGTTACGAATAGGAGGATACCTTCACTGAAGAAAATTAGGTGTGATAAAGTTGTGTTATACCGCAACAAATAAGCAGTCGCGAACGAACAGCTGTGGCACTACCAGGGTGTGATGGGTTTCGGGCTGGTCACCTGGTTCCTGTATAAAAGCCACATAAGCCCAATGACGGTTTTGTGACAAAGGTCTACGTGACTGGCCTTGTAAAACTAAAGTCATTGACCTCCTCACTTCCGGGGCGAGGGTTTACTTCCTGCTGCCTTGCAAGTCGCACCTGATTGTGCAAATTCCAGAGGTGTGCCCTCAAAACAAAAAACGCCGAGTGACGCTGGGGACGTCTCTCGTACCAAACTCCCAAGTAACTTCATGATCATGATGACGGAGCCTACTTATCCTTTCCAAGGTGCCAGTCATAGTGAAGTAAAGTAAGCAAGTGATCACATACCTCCCAAATGACAAGCAAGTGATCACGATCATATTACTACATCATGGAATTGAATAATTCGGTAAAATCCAGATTGGACATGGCTAAAACAATTAGGTCCGCTTAAGATTTCGTATATACTATTTAAGCACATGAAAGTTGAAGGATTTAAGAATAATTTACCTGGAGCCCGGAGACAGACACCTGCTGAAAACGTGCAATGATCCGCGGTCGGAGAGCTCTGAGAAGTCTTCTAAAACCATGGAGCCGTGATCATCAAATCTATACGGTTTCTCAGGCTGCATAGAACAAGCACGGTGTTCTGATCATGGGCATTGCCGGACTGGTAACACGTTCAAGTCACAAGACAGAGAGAGAGAGAGAAAGAGGACTATCGGTGATGTTCTATGAATAGAATGTAGAAACGAGGTTACAGCAGCAGCAGCAGCAGCAGCAGCAGCAGCAGCAGCAGCAGCAGCAGCAGCAGCAGCAGCAGCGAAAAGCTCATAAGTGGAAACCATGGAGTTCATCGAATTATGTACTTGATTGTTCAGTATTACAGATCGTGAGAACATCGAATCGATTGGTAAAAATTCCAGTGCTCCCATTGGCTGCGATAAACTAAACTCAAACTGTTTTGTGAATGGCACAATCTCGAAGTGCTAGATCACCTCTTGCATAAATAAAAGAATTCAGCAAACCAGGGTCATTCAAACGGTATATTGCAATCGCCATTTGAATGGAAGTTGGTGGAGAACTGTAACATGAATCGCACAATTTGAATTCAGACTGTAACTGAAGGTTTAGGAGTGTTACTCAATACTTGCATCGATGTTTCTACAACCACTCAAAGGATATCTTTGATGTGGCCCGATGTTTGTTTTTGTAAGGTGGTTGGCTGGCAAAGAGATCATTGCCACAACCTAATGTTTTACATTGTTGTTGTTGTTGGTATTGGTAGTAGCATTAGTAGTGGCGGTGGCGGTGGCAGTGGTGGTGGTGGTGGTGATGATTGAAGTCACTATCACATCGACACGAAGCTCTCGAGTACAAGCCTCACCATGGACGCCGTCCGACCTTTCCATTCTGCGCCTAGAAGAAGCGTTTGAACAGCCGCAGTCCTACCTTTTCCTAAAAAGAGGGTCAAAAGCATAAAACGACAAGGCTTCAGTTGTCCGAGTCAATACCACATTTAATATAAGCAAGAGGGGATTATTTCCAAGGTTGCCACTGGTCACCCTTCCCTTGCACCCCGTAAAATGTTCCCATACGACCAAGCGTCTCAAACAGCCTCTACTGAGGAAGCCCTACTCACTGCCTTCTCGTGGCCGCGGTGTTTTTGCAACAAAGTGAGAGGACGAAAAGCCAACATCAGGAGCTATAACCGGGTTGGTGGACCACTGGCAGTTCACCTAGAGGAGTCAGCTATAAACTTGATTCCAAACCAACCACACACCCATCTTTCCAGTTGTGGCAATGGTCACCGACTCAATTGGGTACCTTGGACTTTCGACCTCGTCCAAAGGGCGTATGATCCGATGAACTGGACACCGCCCCTCCCCCAATAGATTGCGGTTTTCACACAGCGTCCCGCTGCCTTGCCGGTCAGGCTTGGCTAGCCGAAGGCTTCAGTTGTGGATTCCCC